AACAAACCTAGTCACTTAGAGCATGTTTGGAAAGCCACCTATGAATTGGATTTGGGTGTAATTGGGTGTAATTACACAGTTTGGTATGTTTGTCTGGCCAAGTAATTACTTGGTTAGCATGAAATTGGGTGTAATTACACTTTCCAATTCTCAAGGGAAGGTGAGAATTGGTGGTAATTACACTGTGTATTACAAGGTTTCTTTTTAATTTCTTTCCTTTTTGTTTTTATTTTAATTTAATTTCTTTATAAATTTTTATTTCCATTATTTTAAATTCTTTTTATTTTTATTTTTTTATTTTTTACTTTTTAATTTCTTTTTAAATTTTAAAATATATTTTCTTTGTACATTATTTATCTTTTATTTCTCTACCTTTACTTCTTGTGATTCCATGTAATTGCTCGTATATTTTATTTCTTATTTATTTTATTTTCTTTATTTAGCGTAACTACGTTATTATTTTAGTTTTTGAAACTACACCTCCTAATATTAGAAATAATGAGTCATTAACAAACTGGGCATATAATGAGTGATGTCATTAAAGTAGAATTTCATTGTTGAATGAGGTTATAAACTTATTATGTTTCCTAATTTTAAGTTGTATTTGAACTTATTTTTATTATGTTGGAATTTGACATGTTAAAGTTATTTTTTTTGGGGGATTTTGAAATTGTGTTATTTTTATGGTTCCAATTTACTTGTTTTAGTAGTATTGGTTTGTTATTTCACATTGCATGTTGTTCATTTTTTAGTTTGAATTTATAGATTAGTTTTGTCGAACATTTGCATAATGTTATGACATTATATTTATAAATATTAATTTATTTTACCACACATGCATTCCATGATGTTCTTACAAAACGTATGTTTTTAGTTTTTATAATTAATTAAATTAAATATTATTAATTTTGAAGATGTATATCAATTATTTTTACAATATTAGTTATAAATATATGATTACTAATTAGTGTATATTCAAAAAAAATATGCATTTTAAATATCAAATCTAATAAGGCATATATTTATTATATTAAATTTTAAATTTTGCTAATTACTTCATTTAAAATTTAATCTAAATGTGTAATTACACTTGTGCAACCAAAAGGTACGCTTGTAATTACACTGTAATTACGTTATGACAATCAAACATGTCATCGTAATTACTAGGCTGTGTAATTACTACCCTAGTAATTACATCAATTTCAATTACCAGGTGGCTTTCCAAACATACCTTTAGTGAAGGTGTCACATGCACAATGTTTGTGCCTGCAGTAAAGAGAAAATCAAGATTCCGGAAATAGGCACCATTTGAAAAAATAGTTATGTCTGTCTCTGAGTCAGTTTAACTTTTCTTGTTATTGGAGGTTATAGAAAGATGGGGCTGCTTGTTGGCTTTCTGGTAGTAGGTAGGTTGGTTGCCTGGGAGGCGTATACAGCACCCTAGATGAATTTCCGCTGGTTGGATTCAGGTTTTGCCTCTCAAATTGTGACCTGACTGTATGAGAGGAAACATTACTTTGGCAGAAGGTTATAAAAAGCTATGGCTGTTTGCCAGCTCCTCTTACAATAGATTTTTTGCCTGGGAGCTACTTAACTTGGATCCTCCAAAAGTGCTGCTGCATCCATGTCAAACCAAAATTTTGGAGGGTCCAACACGGGTGCAGCAACAATTTTATGGGATCCGAGCAACATAGCCTGATACATATATGCAGCACCATAAATTTCCTCTTGTTGAGTTCAGGTTGACCTCTCAGAGGCAACCTGTCTATAAAGGAGGAAATATTAACTTTGATAGACATAGTTGCGTTCATTTCTGTCCGTAAAAGCAGTTCAGGCTGGTCTTTCCTCTATATTGTCTGACCTGAGCGAAACAAATAATTCATTAACCTGTATAGCAAAGAGGCTGAAGAACTTTGCCGGTCTTTACATACGAGCTTCTCATGGAGTGACAAGATCAGCAACTGAAATTCTTAAGAATATAAATAGGTCAAGAAAACCAATGGTCCACTCAAAATGAGAAATGATATAACTTGCATTTGCAGGAAGTCTGATGCGCTCCTTTTTGTTTGGTCATGATTTATGTTTGGTTATGAAACTTTCTTCTGGTCAGCTTGTGATCTTTAGATATGCGCTGCTATTTTCTTTTCTTTCCCTACGTTAAATGTGTTTCCTACATCAAGCTTTTACATTTCCAGAAAGATGAACCTGCTAGTAAAGTACCAGCACGGGCATCTTCAGTTCTTCACTAGGTATAATTTATGGGGCCAAACTTTTCATGCTCATATGCTGGTCCACTAAATTGACATACACATATTCCAGTTATGAAGCAGATATAGCAATTGATAAATGAATGTCCGCTTTCTATCAACGGTTCTCTTGTTGCCTTAAATTAGTTTTGGACTCTGAAATTTAGCTGATAATTGCAGGCAATGGTTGATGTTGCCCGAGAGGTCGGAGCTGATGCTGTTTCTCATGGATGCACAGGGAAGGGAAATGATCAGGTATTATCCTGGATCTTCTTTTAACTTTACTGGATCGTTTAAAACCTATTTATCTGAGCCCAGGGGACTGCTGAAACAACCCATCTTGGTCAATTATGCTTCTTTACCATTACAGGTCCGTTTTGAGCTGACATTCTTTGCGCTGAATCCTGAACTCAGTGTTGTTGCCCCTTGGAGGGAATGGGAAATTACAGGAAGAGAGGATGCTATTGAATATGCTAAGAAGCACACCATACCAGTTCCCGTGACAAAGAAATCCATCTATAGCAGAGACAGAAACTTGTGGCACCTTAGTCATGAGGTAATATCAGCAACTTGTTTTGGACCTATGTTGCTTGTTGATACTCATTTACTATGCTGATGACTTGGTTGAGAAGTATTTGAACTTCTTTCCTTTTTATCAGATACCATTTCCTATTTTCTATTTCTTCGTGTCTAAATTTGGAATTTTGTATCAACAACAGCGTTGTTCCTTTCCTTCACTGCTGCTGTAACTATTTTCTTTTCGCTAGGAATTTAGACCAAATGAACAAGCTTATCTTTCCTGGGACCAGTAGTATATAATACTGTTTAAAAAAGAGTGCTATAAGAGGTACCAATCTGAATTGAGACTTGTATAGGAATATCATGATTGGTAAATGAATCACGAAAAAGATGTATCTTTGCTCTTAATAGTTTTTAGTGATTTCCTTAGTAAACAAGGAAATAAGAACCTAAAACATCAAGAATTAAGAAAATATTATGACGTAGGCTCTGCCACTTGGGCGGAACTAAGACGGGCACCCCTCCAAAGTGCAATGGAGCCCACCAACCTAGGCCATGGGCATTCTTGATCGCCCATTGACCCTGTTCAGGTAAGTTTTGGAAAAAAAAAATATTGAAGTAAGGCCATGTGAATATTCCCGTAAAACTCATTTTGAAATGGTATTGAAGGGAGATATTCTGGAGGACCCTGCAAATGAACCAATGAAGGATATGTACATGATGTCAGTTGATCCTCAAGATGCACCTGATCAACCCGAGTAAGAGACTATTTTTTCCTCATTTATTGCGGTAGTAAAGATCTAATGCATTTCCTTGCTCACTTTCGAAACTACTTCTAACTGTGTAGGTATGTAAACATTGGGATAGTCTCTGGTGTTCCTGTTTCAGTAAATGGGAAGGAGCTGTCTCCTGCAACTCTTCTTTCTGAGCTAAATGAAATTGGCGGGAGACATGGAATTGGACGAATAGACATGGTTGAAAATCGGCTTGTTGGAATGAAGAGCCGTGGAGTATATGAAACTCCCGGGGGAACTATCCTCTTCACAGCCGTGCAGGAACTCGAGTCTCTTACACTTGATCGTGAAACAATCCAAGTCAAAGATTCTCTAGCCCTCAAATATGCCGAGTTAGTTTATGCTGGGAGGTGGTTTGATCCGCTTCGCGAGTCAATGGATGCTTTCATGGAGAATATTACCAAGACTACAACGGGTTCAGTTACTCTCAAACTTTACAAAGGATCAGTTTCAGTGACAGGTCGACAAAGTCCACATAGTTTGTACAGACAAGATATCTCATCGTTCGAGAGTGGAGATATCTACAATCAAGCTGATGCTGCAGGATTCATACGGCTTTATGGACTTCCGATGAGGGTTAGGGCAATGCTTGAGAAGGGTCTTTAATTTTTTGATCATGTCGTGAGTTGATGAAGGGGAGCCTTGGCGCAACGATAAAAATCGCCGCTATGTGACCAGAGGTCACGGTTCAGGCCGCAGAAACAGCCTCTTGCATAATGCAAGGTAAGGCAGTAAGACCCAATATGGTCTGGCCATCGCCCGTCCCCTGCATAGCGTAAACTTGCACCAGGCTATCCTTTCTTGAATTGATGGTGTGTGTAGTGTTGAAACGAAAATCAAGGGTCAGTAGAATCTTGTTCTTCCATTTTGTTGCACTGTGTTTTCGTATTACTCTGGAGGCTAGTTTGTTCAGATTGTTTTGTAGACCTTTTCTCTCGTTTGGATATCTAAGGCAAAACTTTTGGACTTGATAGTTCATTATGGAAACTTGCTGAATCACATATCAATAGTCAAATATCTGTTGAGGCAAAAAACATTAGGTGATTTCTGTACATGAGAGAGAGAGAGAGATACTCGGTGCTTGTGATTAGTAGGTATCTGATGAGATAGTCAAGGTGCGAAAGCTGACTTGACACCACCGTTATAGAGAAAAAAGAAAACTGCTGAGCATTCTTGCTTTTACCTTCTGATTTTCTTTACCAGTAGCTATATTGTGAAACCAGGTTGTGAAAACATTGTGCTCTGCGTGGGGAAATCACATTGCCTCTTCAACGTTATTTGTGTTTGATTGTTAGTTCTTGTTTGATTACTTAAGTAGTACAATAAAATGTAGCAAGACTTGAAACATGAAGTCCTTACTGGAAAAATCTTATGTGCCTGGGTCAATTGCAGCACCAAAGGGAGTTTGTAAAAACAAATATGGGCAAGATAGAGAAAAAGAGTGAAAAGTCATTTTACTGAATGTTACAACTTCATCAGCCATGGAATTCATATAAAAAAGCTACAATCATCTAATTTCAGAACCAAACTTTTTGGCTTTTGATCAAGATTTAAATGGTAGCTGGTGCACAAAGCATCCCGCATTCACGCCGCGTCCGGTAAATGGCCGCACCCCTTGGGGTGCGATGTAGGCAATCTACCCTAATGCAAGCATCAGTGACTGATTTCTCGGTTCAAACCCGTGACCTATAGATCATACGAAGATAACTTTTGATCAAGATTGAGTAAATTTTAGTCTAATCCTAGTAAACATAAATTTCATAGAATGGACTGTTTGCTCTTCCATTCATGTTCCTGAATCTAAAACAAGATCCTGCCGCCTTAGATGAAAAGCATCATCCAAAAGAATAAGATTCCTGCAAAAATAAAACAGAAAACAAAAAAGGATTTAAGTTCTATACTGGACAATTAAAAGATAACTACATGTAACTATTAACCGTTCAAAGAAAATGAGATTACCTGCTAGAACAGTTTAAAATACAGTACATTGATCAATGTATTCAAGTTAAATTCAAAAGAAAAGGAAATTGTTCATCTCTTGAAATGTGTTCATGGAATTTGGTAGCAGACACATATTATGCTACATGTGAGTATTAGGGAGTGTTGATTTCTTCCATATTTTTCTTTAAAAATTTGATTTCAGTAGCACCTACCAAAATTCCTCATTTTTGGGGTGAGGATAAGCTTTCATTTTTAGGAGAGAAAGAGTAATGTAAAAGGGCGATAATCTAGCAAAAATTTTCAAATAAAGAAGACTTTTTGTCCAAAAAGTTTAAAGCTTTAAAGAAACTGAAAAAAGGCATTGCCTTTTACCTCCAATACTCATTTCAGTTTGAATTTTGTGTCTCCATGTCCCACTCCAAGCATATCCTGATCACATCAATATAGTTTATTGGTGTTAGAGTAGAAAAGGTAATTCCAGGTATCTGTAGTAAAGTAGAATTAGTAATTTGAAAAGACAGACAGTTTACCCTAGGTGCAAAAAACAAGTTATCCAAGGATTAATTATTACGGGACTAGTTATTTCGAGATTGTTATCCCACTCTCTTAGAGAGATAAAAATAACACTACAATTTCGGTATAACAATTAGTTATAACACGATTTTATCCCAACCAAACGTGGGATAAACTAGTCTAAAATTTAATCACGTGATTAGTTATCACTTATCCCTCGTACCAAACGGGCCGTTTGGTACATGGGATAAGAATAATAATCCCGGGATAAAGTTTGGGATTATCTTTATTACATGTTTGGTTTGAAGTATTAGCTAATCTCGGAATAACTTTTACACTAAAATGGTAGGATTAGTTATCCCATCGGATATCCCACCGTTGTACCAAATGACCCTGCCAGGTTAAATAACATTGATTGTGTAAAAATTCTCAACAAACCTCGTCCGAAGCAATTAATGGTAGTGTTAACACCATTCCTACAAATGCAAGCAAAAGACTCATCTGAACCAGAAAAACCACAAATTCCACCACTATCCTCACAGTTCTTGCAAGAATTATCAGTGAAATATGAATTATTATACTGCAAAGAAATCCCATATTGCCATTTCATAGGATCTCCTTCATCACCTCCAAAACCATATATCGACGAATACGAAGAACATTGAAGTCTAGGCAAGTTCAAACCATAACCTGAACCAATAAGAACTGGTGGATCATATACACAACATGTAGATATAGGAGCATTTGGTTCTAAGCCAATTCCTGTTACTCCTTTACAAGAATAAAGTCCTCTGCATACATTTGAACCCGAGCCGGTATTACACAAATCTTGTTTTGGATCAAACACAGCTGATGTTGTAGAACATCCTAGTAAAACAAAGATGTTTTCTTTCATAATGCTGAAGGGAGTCGACCGATCCAAATTAAAACTGCCTGAGTTTTGCATTGAGGAACATGTTGACATAAAGGGGTCTGTTAAAACAAGTGTGTTGGTTGTGTAGTCTAGTGTGGATATAGTGTAAATGCCAGTGCCAGTGGAAAACTGAAGCACCCCATAAGTACATTTTATGAATCTTGAAAATGTAGGATGTCCACAACCAAATCCTGAACCAAAGGGATATTTTAGGACAATGCTGCCACATTTATCAGTACAAGAACCATTTAGTGGAATGATACTTGGAACAGCTTGAAGTGGATGAATAAGAAGAAATAAAAGAAAAAATGGAAATATTTTTGTAGGAAATGACATTGATACTTGAAAAGAGAGAGAGAGAGGTGTTTGATAATAGGAGGGAGTGATTTGAGTTTACTGATGAATGTGGAAAATGAACCTCTTTAAATGTGACAGACAAATATTTGAGTAAGTGGGGTATGCTTTTTTCGGTGGAATAGTCATATTTTCAATTCTCCTCAAAAGGAGAGCAAGATTTTTATCATGTCTCTCGGTTAAACATCTATTTGAAACAAATTTTTTTTTACCCCTAGGTAGAAATAAGACATACACATTATTCTTTACGATCCATATTTGTGAAATTATACTTTGTTATTGTTATTGTTGTTGTATAATAGAAACAAAGCTTCTTTCGGGTACCAAGTTTTCAAAGGCTGCACATTGAGATGACAATATGATTAAGTAGAAGCAAATTTTCTAACTGGTGTCCTTACATGCTTGTGTGAGCTTCCTCACATTGTCGATCTCAAGCAGATGGATTGTGATAGGCTGAACACCAAACCAAGTCCTTTTTGTGATGAATCCCCACAATACATAATTTTTGTGGGCGTTTGGACATAAGTAACGTGAAATTTTGGAAAAAAGTGAAAAAATATTCTAAGTTAAAATGGTATTTGAAAATTAGAATTGTGTTTGGACATGAATACAATTTGGAGCCGTTTTAATTTTTGTGACTGATTTGAAGTGAAAATTTTGAAAAACATCTTTTTGGAGATTAAATTTTTGAAAAATTCCGAAATTCAACTTCACGTGAAATTTAAAATTTTCATAGTCAAATACTGATTCCGAAAACAATGAATTTTTTTCGAAAGAAAGTAAAAAAAAAAAATTATGACCAAACAGGCCCTTAGTCATGGCATTCCAATAGCTAGGGGAGTGCATATACTTGTCCAGTTAGAAGTGATCTAGAGCACCAAGACTCTAATTATCTCCATAATGTTTCAATGTAACAAGATTTTTAGCAAAGGCCAAACCCATAAACGACCCCTTAAACTCGGCTCCACTTTTTATTTTGACACCTTTACTTTGGCCTTTTTCATTTTGACGCTCCAACTCATTCCCTCATGTGCCACTTAAACACAAAATGCATGGCCTTTTTTAAAAGTCATGCGCGTGTTCATAAGCGCCGCCCACGTGTAAATTGAATCAATTATTCTCTGCAACTTGGATATATCATCCACCTAGGATCCCCAACCCAGATCAATTAACCCCGACCTGGTGAGACTAACCAACGACGAGTTAAAGGGTTAAAACAAAATAACCCCTTTTATTTTTACCTAAATTAATCTGTTTTCTCTCACTCCGCTAACCAAAATCGCAAACCCTATTAGATGAAACCATCGATTTTCAATGGATTTTCGTTCTTGTGAAGGCTATACGGCGAACATCGGCTTGAATTTTCGCTCTATTTCATCTGGTTGTTGCTGGTAAGTTCTTAGAGACCCCTATTTTAAATGCGTTTTTTTACCGTTAGGTTTTTTTATCTTGTTTTCAAATCTTCTGACGTGTGACCTTCTTTTGGCATTTTTCCTTTTTATTGTAGGGAAGTTGATATAATGTCAGCCAAAGAATATATTCTTGTATGTTTCCACCATGGTGGTACTTTTATCGAAGATTCTGTCGCCAAATACGTTGGTGAGAGTGAGATAAAAGAGTATTCAATAGATAAAGACCACTTTTCATTGGTTGAATTTCTGTATTATACAAGGCAACTGGGGTATGTTACTGTTTTTTTTTTTTTTATGTCTTTAACCCTAGGTCAAAAAAATTCGTGCTGGTTGAAAATGATGAACAATTGTATAATATTGTCTGCTACTGTAAAGAGGGGGTCCTGAACATATTTGTTAATCATGTTATTGAAGAACCTGCTTTGGAGGTGGTCCCAGCTACTCTTATTTGTGGGCCTGATGTGGTTGAAGCCACTAATAATGAGTCTAGGGCAACTTTAGATGGTGGTTTTGGTGATATAAATGCAGAACAACAATATGGTGATGAAGTTGGGGAGGTTGTAATAGACAAAGTTGCCGAAAATACTAATGTAGATGGTGCTGAACATTTAGAGCTAGATTTGTCAGATTTGCTTAGTAGTGACACTGATTTAGATGATATACATGAAGGAGATGATGGTGAATTAGATGAGGAGTCAAGATCTATAAAAATATAAAAAAGGAAAAAGAATCTGCAGAAAGAAAAGGGGAAACAAAGGCTGAAGAAGAAGGGGAAGCCACCTACTCCAACAAAGGAGGTTGAGCTAGGGGAAACTGGAGCAGACAAAGGTTTTAATGACATTGATAGGCCAAGTAAGAGAGATAAATATACTGATAAATTAGGGGAGGATATGAGGATTACTATGGTAGTAGTGACATAGGAAGTGATGACAATCAAGATGAGCTAGATGTGCTTGCTGAACCTGTGTTGACTTACCAGCTAGAATAAGTAGTAAGAAGCTCAGGTTTGACCCAGAATGTTGACTTGCTATTTTTGAACTTGGTATGGTCTTTGAAGGTGTTGAAGAATTTAGGAAGGTTGTTCAATCCTATGCTGTTGAGAACAAAGTGCAGCTTACACTTAGGCCTAAGGAAAAACATAGAGTTAGAGTTAAGTGCAAATGTAAGGATTTGTGCAAATGAGAGTTATATGCAAGTAGAGATAGAGATTATGGAGATTTCATGGTGAAGAAGTACCATCCATGGAATAAGTGTACTAATAAAAATAAAAATAAGTTGTGCACTTCTAAATACATTGCCAGAAAATTCAAGGACAGAATAATATCTAAGCCAAACATTAAACTATGGGAGATTCAAGAATGGGTTAGACAGAAGCTTGGTTTATATGTTGGGAGGACTATAGCATACATGTCTAAGGCAATTGTAATGAAAGAGTTTATTGAGGACTGGAAGCTAGAATTTTTCAGATTGGCTGATTATGCTGATATGATTAAGAGGACAAATCGAGTGAGTTCTTACTGGATCAGAACTAACAAGGATACTGTACCAGGGAAGAACATGTTTGTTTACTTTTATGTCTGTTTTGATGCCTTTAAAAGGGGTTGGTTAGAAGGTTGCAGAAGAATTATTGGTTTTGATGGATGCTTCTTAAAAGGCTTGTGTAAAGGTGCGTTGTTGGTAGCTGTTGGCAAAAATGGGAACACTCATATGTTTTCCATAGCATGGGCAGTTGTGGACCAAGAGACAAAACACTCTTGGACATGGTTCATTCAAAATCTGAGTGCTGACTTGGAGTTAGGAGATGGTTTCAACTTAATAGTAATGTCAGACATTCAAAAAGTAATCTCCAGCTTACACTTATTTTACTGTTGTCTGCTATCCTTAACTTCAATTAAATGATATTAATTTTACTGTTGTCTGTTATTTTTACAGGGATTAATACATGCAATTGAAGACTGTTTACCAATGGCAGAGCATAGAATGTGTGCTAGACATATATGGTCCAACCGGGCAAAGAAATAGAAAGGTGACGAAAGAAGGATACAATTCTGGAGATGTGACAAGTCTTCCTTTATAGTGCAGTTCAAGGATGAGCTTGCAAGATTGGGAATGCTGGGGAGAAACATATGTGAAGATGTTCTGGATTACAACAAAGAAGTATAGGTAAGGGCTTATTTTAGTCATGTGTCTAAATGTAATGCTGTTGAAAATAATATGTGTGAGATATTTAATTCATGGATAATGGTACCTAGGCACAAGTCAATTATAAATATGTTAGAGGAAATGAGACACAAAGTGATGACTAGAATTGTTGATATGAAGAGATTTGATGATACTTGGTGTAACGACCCGGCCGGTCGTTTTGAGTATTACAATCCCATTTCTTCATTTACTGCTCTATTTGTACTTTATAGCTATTGTATGACTTATCAGGTTATTTAGTTCGGGTCCGGAGAGAATTTAGAGTGAAATGAGACAATTAGTTTTTTAAATGGAAAGCTTAAGTTGAAAAAGTTGACCGTATGTCAATTTATATGTAAACGATCTCAGATTTGAATTTTGATGATTCCAATAGCCCCGTATGATAATTTTGGACTTAGGAGCGTGTTTGGAAAATAATTTAGAGGTCCGTAGTGGAATTAGGCTTGAAATGACGAAAATTGAATGTTTGGAAGTTTGACCGGGGGTTGACTTTTGATATCGGAGTCGAAATCCGATTCTGGAAATTTGAAATAGGTCAGTAATGTAAAATGTGACTTTCGTGCAAAATTTAAAGTTATTCCAGATTGATTGGATGTATTTCGGCACAAGATATAGAATTTGAAAGTTCAACGTTCATTGATTTTGAATTGAGGTGCAATTCATCGTTTCGATGTTGTTAGGTATGATTTGATGCCTCGAGTAGGTCCGTATTATGTTATGGGACTTGTTGCTATATTTGGTTGAGGTCCCGAGGGCCTTGAGTGAGTTTCGGAGGGTTAACAGATCAAATTCGGACTTAAGAAAATGCTGAAACTGCTGCCTACTGGTGTGATCGCAGGTGCGAAGCCGCATATGCGCGCAACCGATCGCAGAAGCGGCCAAGAGTGGAACTGGGTAGTGCTCGCAAGTGCGAAGAAATGGCCTGCATCTACGAGGCCGCATGTGCGAAGGGGAATGCGCATCTGCGAGACCGCAGATGCGAGATTTTTGAAGGTAGGCTGTTTCCGCACACGCACATTTTCGTCTGCAAAAGAGGATGCATGGGTGCGAGCCTAGGCACCACAGGTGCGGAAATTCCTGGGCAGTGTTAAAACGAGGGTTCCGAGATTTTTCTCATTTTGGAGCTCGGTTTGGGCGATTTTGGAGAGGAATGTTTCCACACAATTTGAGGTAAGTGTTCTTGACTCCCTTGTGATAATATTCCATGAATCTATCTTCATTTTAGCAATTGGTTGATGAATTTAAAGAGAAAATTTGGGGTGTTGGCCTTAAGTTCATAATACGAAAATTTGAGTTTTGAACATCGATTTGGAGTCAGAATTGAGTGAAATTAGTATGGTTGAACTTGTAATTGGATGGGTTATCGGATTTTGTGAATTTCATTGGATTCCAAGATGTGGGCCCCACATATGATAT